CCCCAATTTTGCCTTTGGTCACCGTTCAATACCCTGCCTCTATCATAGATCTATTCATCGCGCCAGAAGGGGGCGTTATTGCTTACTTTGAGAAACGCTGAGCTAAAATAAAAGTCAATGTGTTAGAAATATTCAAGTTGTGACCTTCAATAAAAAATAAAAAATATATAAAATGTCAACATTTTATATATATTCCGTCGAATTTTTATATATAGAATTTGTCTGCCGTCGCCCCTCTATATTTCCTTAACGCCCCCCAATTCTCTTTGAGCCTTCTACTGCCCCCCTGAAAGCCTCCAGTGCCCACAAGGGGGCGTTATCGCCCACTTTGAGAAACGCTGATCTAAATCAAAATAAATAAACAAATGTTTTTTGGAAAATACACTTTATGAGCAGTGACTCTTGGATTTGAAAAAATAATCTGTTAATTTCAATTACAAATAAAATGCATTTTAAAATTAACAGTGTGTTAATTTTCACATATGTGACATACCAACCAGTCTTTGTTTGTTAAATCCAAAGTCTATTAAATTGACATTTTATTGTATTTCAAATATTTATTACTAGTTTAGTTAACTTTTGTAAGTAAACAATTAAGTATTATTTGCAAATAATAATTATTATTATCTACAGATATAAAAATTTCAGATTTGTTAGGTATAAAAAAAAGGGATTCATGAAAAAGTTCTAAAAGTTATCATAAGTTGAAAAATAATGTTTTATTCATTGGAGTAGAAATCTTACTTGTTACCAATTTTTTAAAAATTTATATTTATTCAATTTTGTTAAAAATTCAAAGTTGTTAGGAAGAAAAAGTGTGAAGTTATCTTATGCCTGCAACATGCTGAAACCAAAAAAATAATGTCCATTAATGTTTGGATATCTTATTGAAATATTATTCATGTTGTGTTATAGATAAATTAGGTCTGCTAAAGTTGTCTTTAAGAAGTTCTGAAGATAAGTCATATGACTTATGGTAGTGATATACAGGTATCCCTCATATAACACAATAGATACATTTCGAAAAAGTGCTATGTTATATGAAACAAAGAACTATTGCAAAACATAGAGTTATGTTCCAGAAGTTAACAAAAGTATACTATTGTTTTTCGTTACTAAGAGAAATGTGTTTATTAAAGCAATTGATAATTTATTTCCAATCAATAATTAACTAACAAGCACAATTAAAAGTACTGTTAATATTAATTTTAGTTAAATTATGGCATTTTTTTCAAAGTATTTGCATCATCTCAGCTTTTTTGTCAATCTTAATCTGAAATATAAGTAACATCTTTATTTTTTTATTTTTATCATAGTTTTCTATGACATGACAAGATTAAAATGTTATTAATCGATAATTTGATCTAGCAGGTTGCATTTGTTCAGACGAGTACTGAGTGATATTTTTTTCAGAAATTGTGCTCGAATATCAAATTGTTCCAGTTGAGAACTGTTTGAGTACCGAGATATCTCTTTGTTCATCATTTTTATGTATGATTGATTACTTATACTGTGGTAAAAAAAGTTTAATTAATAACACGTACCTAAAAATGTTTAAATAAACTTTACTGAATAAGAAGATTAATCTATAAGAACAAAACATAGTGACAGTCTTAAAGGCAAAAGTCTGAAAGCAACAACGATGACACCTGGTTGATAGGAAAACTAGGACAAGGAAGAAAAAATTCTACTATTAGTTTTCATTAAAGTAAACCTGATGAAAGGCACAAAACAAATTGAAAATTTCAATATTCTAAAATCTGTGAGCAAATTTGCAACATGCATGCGTACTTGAATAAAAAAATATTGAATAATGAAGTTTACACTTAAAAGTTGTGAAATTTTGTATGGAGAATTTCTAAAATAGTGTTAGAGTGAAACTGGAAGTTGTGTTGTATGAGAGATACCTGTACTGTAAAAAAATTACTAATTAATATCCTTTGTTCTGTGAAATATACACAAATATTTGTATTTGTGTATATTTCACAAATACAAATACAGTAGAGCGTCAATTATTTGAAAGTCAATCATCCGAAAGAATTCCAGTCGGCAAATTTAAGTTTTCGCCAGTGCTGTGGCATTGCAATCTTTGGCTATGTCTTGAGCTACTCAAATATTTTACGTTTTTGATACTAAATTAACTTCTGAAGTATAATTTTTTATTGTTTTTATATTTTTCAATATATTTGTTTTGTTTGTACAAAATAAAAAAAATAATTTTTAACGATACAATAGTCTTCGTTAGGCTTAACATCGACGAAAATTCAACACGAAGCGACATGCAACGGAGAAAAATGTCAAGATGGGATAAATTAATATATTTTTTCATACATAATCGGTTATCCGAAACATTGATCTTCCGAACGACCCCAGTCCCCAATNATTTATCTCTCAGTATTTCAGTTGAATTAATGGATGCTTTTTGCGTACGTCTGTGGCATTCACATAATCTTTGCATAAGGCTGTTGTAACCATTCATCCTGGCTATCCTTTTTATACTTCTTACTTCTTGTGCTAGCACTTGTGGAGCAGAAGAATGCATGAATGCTCTTCGAACCAAGGCCCCGAATGCTGCTGTTAATGAGAGTCGCACATTTTATATTTAACCCAGTGTGTTGTGCAGTTAAGTTTGATTTTAATTTTAATTAATTTGATTATATTTTTGGTTTTGGTGTAAAGGTCAGAGTTTTAATTATTATTTTTAATAATTTTTATTTATTTAATTTTCCCTGCATGTTTTGAATCCTTGATTCCAGTTTTTTAAATTAATTGCAACGTTTTTTTTTGTGACATCACTATAGAAATTGTTTTAGTGTTGTTTCACACAAAAGATAATAAAAATTAAATTTAAATTTATTTTAATTTTTTAGTAATTTCATTAATTATTGTTTTGTAAGTTTGCTTGCTTTTTAAAATTTTTAATTTCAAGCAAATTGAGATTAATTGAACTATTGCACTATTAAGTTTCAAATCAAGTCTGGTATGGTAGTCAGCAAGAATATTTAAGTGTCAGCAAAACAGTGTAAAATGTAAACAAAATTATATTTTAATTGAAATAATAGTATATAAAATTGTTTTTAATATTTAGTATGTTTACTTTTAATGATAAAATGATTTTCTCATTATAATTATGAAAGTTTGTATGATTCACAGATGTTCTGTAATACATTAAATTTTCTATTCAGATTCGTGTAATTCTGAGTAAAAATATTTGTTTGTGCTGTTTAATGCCATTTTGAGTTTTAAAAATAGATTTTTTAAGATGAATCGGTCTAAATATTCGTGGCTCAAGTGAATGAATTCAAAAATTGGTTAACTCGTGACAATGATATTTGTTTGGCTCATTTGCTGAATCTCATTTAGTATTAAATACGATGGAGCTAAATTATTTACATGACATGCCTGTTGTGAGAAGCATGGAAAAAGTTTTTTTCCATGCTTCTCACAACTTTTCATTTATCTTCTCCTCCCCATGGTTATTGTGTTGGCCAACAAAGCAGTTTCCAAAGATGGTGACTTAACATGACACAATGGGATAGTTCTTTGAGTAAAAGTGAATTAATTAGTTGTAATTTCTTTGAGGGAAGTGTTTCAATATTAACTTTATCGAAAATAAGATTACAAATTTTTGTAATCTTATTTTGTAGTACACAATAAAAGCATGTGTATCCACTTATAAATGGAGATTTTTCATATTTCTTTCAAAAGATTTATGCTGGATATTCCAATCATTTTCCATTCTCCAGCTTGATATTTATTAATTAATGAATGTATCATGCTCATAATGTAAATTGTTTAATTTTTCTTAACTAAAATAAACTTTAGAAAGTACTGTACTCAAAAGAATCAGAATTGAGTTTTTGGTGGTATTGGAATTGGGAGAAATTTTCATATCAGCTCATCCATATTATTATCTAAACAGAATGTATTTTTTAACTTCTTTGACAATGTTAACACTTTTACTTACACATAAAAATTTTATTCATTAAAGTATTTGATATTATGTTATTAAATTATTTTTAAAATTGTATAAATATTTAATTATTTTATTCACATTTATTAGGCAGTATCCAAAATTATGTATTCATTTAAATTATTGAATATTACAGATTGTGGTTTCCTTGTGTGGATTCATATTCAGAGCCATGTACATGGAAAATGGAGTTCACTGTTGATTCTTCAATGGTGGCTGTTTCATGTGGAGATCTTGTAGAAACTGTTTTTACATCAGATATGAGGAAAAAGACGTATCATTATTATCTTTCTGTTCCAACTTGTGCTCCAAATATTGGATTAGCTGTTGGGTAATTTTATTTTATTGTATTCAATTTTACCATTTTAAGTGTTTGCTGTGGTGATGAGATTTTTGTTTTCATTTGTTTGATTATTGTATTTTTCTCATTTAAAGTAAAATAGTAATTTGTTCCAAAAATACTAATACAAAAATCAATCGTGCATCAATACTAAAAATAATAAAATCATACTTATCTAATAGAAAGGAATTGATCAAACAGGCTATCATTGCACATACATGACAATGTGTGTAACATACTTTGTGAAATAGTTCTGTCCAGAATGTATTAAAAGATTACATTCTGGACAGAACTATTTCACATTAGTATTACACTTTACAAAAGTAGATGGAAATAAGTTTTATGTTAAGAATATTGTATTCAGTGAGATATTTGAAAAATATATAAAAATTGATTTAAAATAAAACATCTAAATAAATATGTTATGCAAATTTTGAAATAATGTCAAAAATCTTTATTTCTTTTACAAGTGAATTTTGTAGTTAAGAAAGATGAATAGCATTTATGAAAGTGTTTAGAGATTTTATTTATTATGAATGCAATTTAAAATTCTAATAACAATGACAGCTGAACTAATTGGCAATCATATTCTGATCAAACTGAATTTTTAACAGGTTCTGGATAGTACTTTATTAACATTTTTATCTTTAAATTATTAAATATATATTCTAAAAAAGTGACATTGTTGAGAAGGACAATTCAGTCTGTTAGAAAACCTGGATACTTGTAATTTTTTTTTTTTTGTTACAACATAATGTCACAAGAATATTGTAATAACATGTAACATTAATTGCTCATTAAACTGCTCTGTTTCATTTATGTTTGGAATATTGTGTCATGACAACATGGATTTAAATCTATGGAGCCTGAGCAACAATCTCCACTAGCACATTCTCAAATTTATGTTTAAAAAAAGTTATCAAATATGCCTGTCAAAATTGTGCAGATTTTTAGTTTATACAACACTTACATAAGATGAATTAAAAAATCAAAATATGTTTTTCTATAACAGAATGACATATGGATAAAACTTGTCTTCTAACATTGTGTTGCAGCAAATGGAATATTCTAAGGTAATATCATTACAATATACAATACAATTATCCCTTGCTTAATATGAATTTGATTAATGTGCAAAATTAATTGCAACAATCCCTTTATATACAAGGCGGTGTTTTAATTAACACAGCTTTACCAGCTATCCTTTACTTAACATAGATACCATGTTTGATTAATACAATTTTGATATATGGTGGCATTGAGAGACTAATTAACCATGTTAATGAAGGGATATCTGTATAATGAAACAGAAGAGCCTTAGGCAATAAAATTATTATTTATTAATTTCTGCATATTGTTATGGAGAATGAATATTTATAACAAAAAAGATTACAAATTAATGGTAAAGGTTTGTGCGTAGTATTTGAATGTAGGAAAAATAAATATATATATATTTCCTACTATGATGTTTGTTTATTGTAATATTTGTTGCTGATCAGCAACAAATATTTTATTTTAAATACATTCAGCTATAATATTTAACTTGATATAACAATCTATATACAAATGTCATATAGTTAAACACCATGATAATGTTGCATTATACATAGATACTGTAAATTGGGATTCAAAAGTTTTTAAAGATATAAAATAGAAACTTAAGTTACTGATATAATAAAATTTTACTATACACTTTTAAATAGTCCTTTTTGTAACAGAAATGGATGGTGAAATTTTATCAAGATTTTCCAGTTTTATTATTAAATAAAAATTTTGAATTTCATGTTAATTCTATTTTTATATTTAAACAAATTTAACACTAATAAAGTTTTATTTATTTTAATATATATTTTAATTTATACAGACCATTTGAAATATTGGTTGATCCCTACATGCATGAAGTTACACATTTTTGCTTACCACAATTATTACCACTTTTGAAACATTCTACATATTTTTTGCATGAGGTGAGACTCTTTAAAAATATTTAAATTAATGTGTTTTGTTGATAAGTTACTTTGAGATTAATTTTTATAAACATATATAAATACAATCAAACTTCAGACAACAGCCACTGACAAGGAACATATAAAATGGCCATATTTTGTATGTAATTTTGCTATAAAAAAACAAATTCCTGAAGAAATTTCTGCTGCTTAGAGGTGGCCATTATTGGTAATTTAACTGTATTTACATATGTTGTTTTTTAGTGCCTACATAATAAGTTTTTTAAATTGAATCTCTATTTTACACATTTTTTTTCAAATTCTATTTGAAAATTTGATATAATTAGAATTAATTCCCATTAGATTTTGAATTATCAACCTGAATGAAAGAAGAATATTCAAATTTTAATGGACATGTTTTTAGATTGTATATAAAGTTTGATTTGATTAAAAATCTTGTGTTCTGAATATAAGTCAGTAAAGTTTGAAGGCGTTAGACTTTAGATGCTTCAAGAAAATACTCCAGTAAAACAGAAGTTTGGAGTTATTTAAAGAAAGTTTTAAAAGAAATTCAACTCACTCTTACAAGATAATGAGAGTTGGATTTTCAAGCTTTTAAAGTCTATAGTAAGCATGATATCAACTATAATAGACTTGCTATTGCTTCAATAAATAGAAGTGAATTATATTCCTAAATGAAATGAGCTAATTCACAATTCTGCTTTCCCAAACATCAATTAAACAGTGCTTCATTATTTAATAAAGTAAATTATACATTTTTAATTTTTATTTTTCTACATTTTGAACTAGTACTTACAGTTTTTTTTANTAAAGTAGATTAAAATATTATTTGCATTTTTATACATAACATTTTTTTCAATTTTATTAAATTGTAATAATTGTTTTCCATGAATGTAATTATTGTGTAATGATTACAAAAAATTATGACTTAAATCATATTTTTAATTTGTATCTTAATTTTTGAAAAATTGGTTTGAATTTTTCAGAGGGGTGCTCATATGTTTACCTATGGTCATGAAAATTCATCAAGGTTTGTAAAATTACTTTGTATTATTGTATTAAAAAAGCTATTTTATATTTTTTAATAACTATATCTTTAATATAATTACTCTATTTTTATTATTTTTATACTATATTTCTTAAATAATAATTAATTGAGGGAGAGCATTAATGAAGCCTCTTCTATGAGGCTTACAGAATTGTGTTTGTTCTCAAAATCTCTTTGATTGATTTTTTATCAAACTTTGCCATTTTCCATTAATTGCCATGAGGATTCTAAAACTGCAATAAACAATGGAGGTCCATGACTTCATCATGGACCCCCATTTTTTATATGGTTTTATGAGCTCATTGACAAAGCAATATTGCATGAATTCTACAACTTTTGTCATTCGATGTTTTATGGTCACTAGCATGTCTTCTATGGGTTTAAAGAATTGAGTTTGTTCTCAAAATTTAATGGGCCAATTTTGAAAAACACCTTTCCATTTTCCATTAATTGAGATGAGGAATGTAAATGTGATGTGGGTTCATTTAAAATGTAAAAAATTTAGCAGCAATTTGCTTAACTTTTCTGGCAACATTTAAAATTTTGGAGGTGCGATTTGTTATAATATTTCATTTTAAAAAACTGTTTACATTTTAATTATTATAAAATGGTAAAAAGCTTAATTTTGAGGGTAGGGATGGGCTTTATAAAAATTGTAAATACTAATAATGAGTAAAATCATCATTAATATAAAAAGTGCAACTCACATTAACCATTTAACTGGTGTGCATACGATGAAAACTTGCAAACATTTTTGTAGCCCCTTCTGGGATCTTCCTCGGGTTTTTTTTATTTAAAACAAGCTGGCAGTTAATTTTTCAAATATAAATCGAATGGTAATAGATTTCAGATACTATATGAGCATGCATTCCCCTTAAGATGTTTAAATAAGATCGAACAATACAATGATCCAGATGTGGGGTGGTAAAGATGATACGGGCTCTGGTAAAGTCCGCCATAATATCCAGGTCCGTTGCATAAGTGGAGAAGGCAGTTGTACCTTTATTATGTTGTATGTCGGATTTATACTCCCATATCCTGACCCCCATTGAACATTTGTGGAGGCAATGTACACTATTTCCCTATCCCATCTGTTGTCTCTGATAGGGATGCTATAAATGCCTGGTAGTCTGTCAGGGTTAGGGGGGTCTTTTCCATTACACAGTATGTTGAAAATGGGCAGGCATCTCCTGTAGGCAATATTGATCCAATGTCTCTTGGCATTTGTGGTGTACAAGGATTTTAAATGGGGGTTAAAAGTGAGGGGGATTCTCTCCTTATCCTCTTCCCATTTATCTCTCAGTATTTCAGTTGAATTAATGGATGCTTTTTGCGTACGTCTGTGGCATTCACATAATCTTTGCATAAGGCTGTTGTAACCATTCATCCTGGCTATCCTTTTTATACTTCTTACTTCTTGTGCTAGCACTTGTGGAGCAGAAGAATGCATGAATGCTCTTCGAACCAAGGCCCCGAATGCTGCTGTTAATGAGAGTCGCACATTTTATATTTAACCCAGTGTGTTGTGCAGTTAAGTTTGATTTTAATTTTAATTAATTTGATTATATTTTTGGTTTTGGTGTAAAGGTCAGAGTTTTAATTATTATTTTTAATAATTTTTATTTATTTAATTTTCCCTGCATGTTTTGAATCCTTGATTCCAGTTTTTTAAATTAATTGCAACGTTTTTTTTTTGTGACATCACTATAGAAATTGTTTTAGTGTTGTTTCACACAAAAGATAATAAAAATTAAATTTAAATTTATTTTAATTTTTTAGTAATTTCATTAATTTTTGTTTTGTAAGTTTGCTTGCTTTTTAAAATTTTTAATTTCAAGCAAATTGAGATTAATTGAACTATTGCACTATTAAGTTTCAAATCAAGTCTGGTATGGTAGTCAGCAAGAATATTTAAGTGTCAGCAAAACAGTGTAAAATGTAAACAAAATTATATTTTAATTGAAATAATAGTATATAAAATTGTTTTTAATATTTAGTATGTTTACTTTTAATGATAAAATGATTTTATCATTATAATTATGAAAGTTTGTATGATTCACAGATGTTCTGTAATACATTAAATTTTCTATTCAGATTCGTGTAATTCTGAGTAAAAATATTTGTTTGTGCTGTTTAATGCCATTTTGAGTTTTAAAAATAGATTTTTTAAGATGAATCGGTCTAAATATTCGTGGCTCAAGTGAATGAATTCAAAAATTGGTTAACTCGTGACAATGATATTTGTTTGGCTCATTTGCTGAATCTCATTTAGTATTAAATACGATGGAGCTAAATTATTTACATGACATGCCTGTTGTGAGAAGCATGGAAAAAGTTTTTTTCCATGCTTCTCACAACTTTTCATTTATCTTCTCCTTCCCATGGTTATTGTGTTGGCCAACAAAGCAGTTTCCAAAGATGGTGACTTAACATGACACAATGGGATAGTTCTTTGAGTAAAAGTGAATTAATTAGTTGTAATTTCTTTGAGGGAAGTGTTTCAATATTAACTTTATCGAAAATAAGATTACAAATTTTTGTAATCTTATTTTGTAGTACACAATAAAAGCATGTGTATCCACTTATAAATGGAGATTTTTCATATTTCTTTCAAAAGATTTATGCTGGATATTCCAATCATTTTCCATTCTCCAGCTTGATATTTATTAATTAATGAATGTATCATGCTCATAATGTAAATTGTTTAATTTTTCTTAACTAAAATAAACTTTAGAAAGTACTGTACTCAAAAGAATCAGAATTGAGTTTTTGGTGGTATTGGAATTGGGAGAAATTTTCATATCAGCTCATCCATATTATTATCTAAACAGAATGTATTTTTTAACTTCTTTGACAATGTTAACACTTTTACTTACACATAAAAATTTTATTCATTAAAGTATTTGATATTATGTTATTAAATTATTTTTAAAATTGTATAAATATTTAATTATTTTATTCACATTTATTAGGCAGTATCCAAAATTATGTATTCATTTAAATTATTGAATATTACAGATTGTGGTTTCCTTGTGTGGATTCATATTCAGAGCCATGTACATGGAAAATGGAGTTCACTGTTGATTCTTCAATGGTGGCTGTTTCATGTGGAGATCTTGTAGAAACTGTTTTTACATCAGATATGAGGAAAAAGACGTATCATTATTATCTTTCTGTTCCAACTTGTGCTCCAAATATTGGATTAGCTGTTGGGTAATTTTATTTTATTGTATTCAATTTTACCATTTTAAGTGTTTGCTGTGGTGATGAGATTTTTGTTTTCATTTGTTTGATTATTGTATTTTTCTCATTTAAAGTAAAATAGTAATTTGTTCCAAAAATACTAATACAAAAATCAATCGTGCATCAATACTAAAAATAATAAAATCATACTTATCTAATAGAAAGGAATTGATCAAACAGGCTATCATTGCACATACATGACAATGTGTGTAACATACTTTGTGAAATAGTTCTGTCCAGAATGTATTAAAAGATTACATTCTGGACAGAACTATTTCACATTAGTATTACACTTTACAAAAGTAGATGGAAATAAGTTTTATGTTAAGAATATTGTATTCAGTGAGATATTTGAAAAATATATAAAAATTGATTTAAAATAAAACATCTAAATAAATATGTTATGCAAATTTTGAAATAATGTCAAAAATCTTTATTTCTTTTACAAGTGAATTTTGTAGTTAAGAAAGATGAATAGCATTTATGAAAGTGTTTAGAGATTTTATTTATTATGAATGCAATTTAAAATTCTAATAACAATGACAGCTGAACTAATTGGCAATCATATTCTGATCAAACTGAATTTTTAACAGGTTCTGGATAGTACTTTATTAACATTTTTATCTTTAAATTATTAAATATATATTCTAAAAAAGTGACATTGTTGAGAAGGACAATTCAGTCTGTTAGAAAACCTGGATACTTGTAATTTTTTTTTTTTTGTTACAACATAATGTCACAAGAATATTGTAATAACATGTAACATTAATTGCTCATTAAACTGCTCTGTTTCATTTATGTTTGGAATATTGTGTCATGACAACATGGATTTAAATCTATGGAGCCTGAGCAACAATCTCCACTAGCACATTCTCAAATTTATGTTTAAAAAAAGTTATCAAATATGCCTGTCAAAATTGTGCAGATTTTTAGTTTATACAACACTTACATAAGATGAATTAAAAAATCAAAATATGTTTTTCTATAACAGAATGACATATGGATAAAACTTGTCTTCTAACATTGTGTTGCAGCAAATGGAATATTCTAAGGTAATATCATTACAATATACAATACAATTATCCCTTGCTTAATATGAATTTGATTAATGTGCAAAATTAATTGCAACAATCCCTTTATATACAAGGCGGTGTTTTAATTAACACAGCTTTACCAGCTATCCTTTACTTAACATAGATACCATGTTTGATTAATACAATTTTGATATATGGTGGCATTGAGAGACTAATTAACCATGTTAATGAAGGGATATCTGTATAATGAAACAGAAGAGCCTTAGGCAATAAAATTATTATTTATTAATTTCTGCATATTGTTATGGAGAATGAATATTTATAACAAAAAAGATTACAAATTAATGGTAAAGGTTTGTGCGTAGTATTTGAATGTAGGAAAAATAAATATATATATATTTCCTACTATGATGTTTGTTTATTGTAATATTTGTTGCTGATCAGCAACAAATATTTTATTTTAAATACATTCAGCTATAATATTTAACTTGATATAACAATCTATATACAAATGTCATATAGTTAAACACCATGATAATGTTGCATTATACATAGATACTGTAAATTGGGATTCAAAAGTTTTTAAAGATATAAAATAGAAACTTAAGTTACTGATATAATAAAATTTTACTATACACTTTTAAATAGTCCTTTTTGTAACAGAAATGGATGGTGAAATTTTATCAAGATTTTCCAGTTTTATTATTAAATAAAAATTTTGAATTTCATGTTAATTCTATTTTTATATTTAAACAAATTTAACACTAATAAAGTTTTATTTATTTTAATATATATTTTAATTTATACAGACCATTTGAAATATTGGTTGATCCCTACATGCATGAAGTTACACATTTTTGCTTACCACAATTATTACCACTTTTGAAACATTCTACATATTTTTTGCATGAGGTGAGACACTTTAAAAATATTTAAATTAATGTGTTTTGTTGATAAGTTACTTTGAGATTAATTTTTATAAACATATATAAATACAATCAAACTTCAGACAACAGCCACTGACAAGGAACATATAAAATGGCCATATTTTGTATGTAATTTTGCTATAAAAAAACAAATTCCTGAAGAAATTTCTGCTGCTTAGAGGTGGCCATTATTGGTAATTTAACTGTATTTACATATGTTGTTTTTTAGTGCCTACATAATAAGTTTTTTAAATTGAATCTCTATTTTACACATTTTTTTTCAAATTCTATTTGAAAATTTGATATAATTAGAATTAATTCCCATTAGATTTTGAATTATCAACCTGAATGAAAGAAGAATATTCAAATTTTAATGGACATGTTTTTAGATTGTATATAAAGTTTGATTTGATTAAAAATCTTGTGTTCTGAATATAAGTCAGTAAAGTTTGAAGGCGTTAGACTTTAGATGCTTCAAGAAAATACTCCAGTAAAACAGAAGTTTGGAGTTATTTAAAGAAAGTTTTAAAAGAAATTCAACTCACTCTTACAAGATAATGAGAGTTGGATTTTCAAGCTTTTAAAGTCTATAGTAAGCATGATATCAACTATAATAGACTTGCTATTGCTTCAATAAATAGAAGTGAATTATATTCCTAAATGAAATGAGCTAATTCACAATTCTGCTTTCCCAAACATCAATTAAACAGTGCTTCATTATTTAATAAAGTAAATTATACATTTTTAATTTTTATTTTTCTACATTTTGAACTAGTACTTACAGTTTTTTTTATTATTTAATCAGTAATTGCTTAACAAACTGCCCGATTGTTTACCAGACTGTAACAAGGCTAATTTAATTATTAGATGTAAGCAATATGGTTGTAGGTAGGCAGTTAGGCTGCCACCTAAAGATAAATTTAATAATCAGTTATGGCAACGCAACACTTGGGCGATCTGCCTAGGGGGTGCTTTCTCGGAGGTATTTTAAGTCCCAATTTGGTAGTTCAGTCATGGATTCACACTCTGCCAGGATGGACTGGCCACATGGAGTTTTCTAGTTTTGTTACATCTTTAATGCCTAAATTGGGACCAGTTACACTTAAAATACCTCCGAGAAAGCACCCCCTAGGCAGATCGCCCAAGTGTTGCGTTGCCATAACTGATTATTAAATTTATCATTAGGTGGCAGCCTAACTGCCTACCTACAACCATATTGCTTACATCTAATAATTAAATTAGCCTTGTTACAGTCTGGTAAACAATCGGGCAGTTTGTTAAGCAATTACTGATTAAATAATAAAAAAAACTGTAAGTACTAGTTCAAAATGTAGAAAAATAAAAATTAAAAATGTATAATTTACTTTATTAAATAATGAAGCACTGTTTAATTGATGTTTGGGAAAGCAGAATTGTGAATTAGCTCATTTCATTTAGGAATATAATTCACTTCTATTTATTGAAGCAATAGCAAGTCTATTATAGTTGATATCATGCTTACTATAGACTTTAAAAGCTTGAAAATCCAACTCTCATTATCTTGTAAGAGTGAGTTGAATTTCTTTTAAAACTTTCTTTAAATAACTCCAAACTTCTGTTTTACTGGAGTATTTTCTTGAAGCATCTAAAGTCTAACGCCTTCAAACTTTACTGACTTATATTCAGAACACAAGATTTTTAATCAAATCAAACTTTATATACAATCTAAAAACATGTCCATTAAAATTTGAATATTCTTCTTTCATTCAGGTTGATAATTCAAAATCTAATGGGAATTAATTCTAATTATATCAAATTTTCAAATAGAATTTGAAAAAAAATGTGTAAAATAGAGATTCAATTTAAANTTTTTAGACAGTTTTTTATGATAAAATGAAATGAAATGTTTTTATTAAAAAATCTTAAGAAAACAAATGATATTTCAAAGTTTTGGATTTCTTACATTTTTCCGAAAAAAGTATCTGTTTGTAATTGTTTAGATTTTTGTTTTCTTTCATTAATAATTTTGGAATATGGTCGAATGGATGTGATGATGCTCCTTTTTACATTTGCAATTCACTCCCAATCATTTTCTAACTCACAAAGTTTATCCATTAAACTTTCCATATTTGAAAAGATACGCTAACCCAAAATAGAGCTATAGATGAGCGGAGATGCTGGTTGGTCAGCTGCCATAGTGTATATATAAGGTCAGTTTGGGCGGAAAAATTGGAGTCGGTTTCATCTTGCTAAGGAAAGTTAGATATCATCTGGCCAACAAGAAGTAGATTTCGTCTCACTAATGATAATTTGTGATTGCCGTAAGTGCTACTGCATTGTAAGGTTTTTCCTGAACGAACTGATACGGGATACGAACTATTTGCATTTGTTAGTGCTCTGGATTCGAATGACATTTATTGGACTATTAAGTTTAATGACTTGACTCGTGGGAACCTAAACATTTAATATTTTAATTTGAATTTTCATCGGATGAATAAATTATTTTTTCACAAATTAAAGACAAAGTCACTCTAAAAATATATTTTAGACAATCACCATTTTTACATAGTGTAGCCTAAAAAGGAAGGTTCAGCTGTCTATAATTTGTTCTAGAACACTATGTAAAAATGGTGATCGTCTAAAATATATTTTTAGAGCAACTTTGTCTTTAATTTGTGAAAAAATAATTTATTCATACAACGGAAATTCAAATATATTGTTAACATTCGTCACCAGAGGGATATCTTGGTGTAATCTACATTTGTCAGCGCTAATCCTCGGTAGATAAAAGGAGCCAGAAACCCAACTGGACAAGGATGAACTAACAAGACGTCGCAAGATTTACCATTCCAATTTTAAAGAAGAATTTTTTAATCTTTATTGGTTTTTGTGTTTTTTAAGGAACTTTTTTAAATGTAGGCAGTTGTGTAGCCTAAAAAGGAAGGTCCAGCTGTCTATAATTTGTTGTAAAACACTATGTAAAAATGGTGATCGTCTAAAGTATATTTTTAGAGCAACTTTGTCTTTAATTTGTAGTATTTTAATATTAATTTAATGCAAATGTATACATACCCAATAATATTAAACAGAAAAAATAAATATATTCAATAAAAATCTTTGTTTTAGCGAATGTACAATGTTGCGGCTCAGTAAATACATCAACACTGAAACGAAAATCAGTCTGGCATAGGGAATAATTATATCGCAAAACGGCGAATTGCGCAGTGGCGTTATTGTGAATCGGATTAAGTTGAGCCGGCATAAACCGAGGGCTACCTGTAACTGAATCAGATGGATGTATAGTTTTATAATAATAATATATATATGTACACACATCATGCTGGTAAAAGCATAAGTTAGCTGGAAGCCATAGAGGGCTATGAATACCAAATCATTACCAGTCACTTCTGTAAGTGACCAGTATGGTTATATCTAAATTAGTTAAGTAAGTAATAGCTTTAGAATATCAATGGGATGCAGACAGTAAATGGAAACATATGCATGGCAAGCATGAGTTGTGGGTTTAAGTCCGCTAACCAAGCCAACTGTTTAACAGAATTTATCACACTACAATTAGCATTTGTTTACTTTCAGATTGATTAATATATTGTAATTCTAGTGTTTTGAGAAAGCTCTTAGATGAAAATGTTTCTGCAGGTATCTGTATATACGTACAAAAATACAATAAATCTCAAATTTCATATGAAATATTGACTTTGAAAATTTTCACAAACATGTAATAATTTTTTTATAAAATGTTTGAAATCTTCATTTATGACAGAATGAATATAATATTACTCAAAAATTTTTCAATTATTGAAATTTCTCACACAGCAGTTGTAGTTTGATACTACTATAGTATGATAGGTGAAGATACAGTAATACCTCGACTTACGCGAACCCGGAGTTACGCGATTTTCAAATCTCGTCGATTCATCTTTTGTTTGAGCGCAACGCAACTCTTGATTACTCACTCCTCCCACACTATTGTTCAGCTTACATGTTCGGACATGTCGTGCGGAATCGACACATAACTACAATTTATTTTGTGTTATTTATTTCTGTGTTTGTTATATCTACGGAGACTCGAGAGACTCTATGTGGTGATTTCTTGTAACCGTGAACGAATCAAAAGACGAGATAAGATCAACGAGAACATTTATTAGCTTACATACATCCCACTTGGATTTTACACAAATTGTGAAATTATACCCCGACTTACACGAATTCGACTTACGCGGTCATCGCTAGGTCCCACTTATCGTGTAAGTTCGGGGTATTACTGTACATGCACTCATTGTCAAGTTGTCTGCTTTGTTTCAGCACATTCAGCATAGTCATTTTGTATCTGTGGACATTTTTGTGATCTCATGTTAAACAGTTTATGCTAGGGTTTTCAAACTTTTTTTAAGTACCAGTTGTTGAAGACACCCAGCCTGGCATACCATTAACTGCATGACACCCATCTGTCCAATAAAACAATAACAACAGTGACCCTAACATTTCAGCAAACATGCAAGCAGTGTGCACATAAGATGCAAATAAGACATTTCAGCTGAAACGTAACTTCACAGCTGGGCAATTTCAATGGAAAACCTGTGCCTGTTTATTTGACATTAAGATCTTTATCCTTGGTGAAAGGGTGCTCACAGGCACAATCAAATTTGGTTCAAGATGAAGGCAGTTCCTGGGTTTAGTCTTGATATTAGCCATGATGGAAAATGCATTCTCACACAAGTATGATGATCCAAATGGAAGAACTGTAATTGCTTTGTTTGAAACTGCAGGATACATTTTTTTTAGCTTCATTCCAGAATTGTGTTAGTGATTTTTCCTGGAAAAGTTCATATATATGATGATCTGATTTCATGTCTATCAGCATTTCTTGCTGCTGGACAGAAAGCTTGGATTGCACTATATTGTTTGTCACAAATGGCAACATTACTCAGCAACACTCATTGCCACTTTCCTTACATAAGAACAGGAAATATGAAAAAACTCGAGTACAGCCTTTGCAAATGTTCCGTGATAACAATTTATATTTCCTGTCTATGAGTGACAGTGATTGAGTTCAGTTCAAGAAGTTTCATGAAATGTATCTAGATTTCCATATGTAACATGATTCTTCCAGAAAAACAATTTCATGTAAAATGCTGAAATTTTTTATTTTTTTGTAAAAATGTGCCCATATTCTTGCAGAGACAGATTCAGCTCATTTAGTTTCCCAAATAAGTTTGCAAGGTATGAAAGGCAGGAAACTCAAAATATGTTTCAAACTTTCCTGCAAGAGATGTCTTATCTTTGAGGAAAAGATATACTTCATCTCAAAGTTAAAAAAGTCTTGTCAAGATATTTCGTCTTGACAATTTTGTGAGATAAAATTGTCTTCTGAGTGATTCTTAACTTCTGATAAATTTCAGATTAGAAGGACATAACAAATTTGTTTATTTGTCTATAAAGCAGTTTTTAGCATGAGTAGTTTACTCAGCATGAGTGGTTCACTCAGTGTCTACTAGGTCCTGAATTTTAAATGCAGAAGGGCACATCCTATTCCAACCTGGTTCTCTCACCTGAATAAAACTGCTAAAATATACTTTTTTATGATAACTTAGTAAGCAAGTGTCCAATGAAGAATTTTCCAGTTTATATATTGATCACAATCTATTAATATATATTAAAAATAATTGTAAAATTTTCATTTTATTAGTTAACAGTAAAAATAGCTGAAAATATAACAAAAAATTTGATATCCCAAAAATTCACCAAAGAGACAAACAATATTTTTATTCACCAAATAGAAAAATAGTAGCTCAGTTTGGCACAAAGTAGTCAAACCTAGAAATGGAGGCTATGGGAATCTCAACTGACTGAGAAAGTGTTACATGCCTGACCTTGGTTTCTGCTTCTTATTAGACGATCATATCATGTTGATATGAGTGGCAATGTCACTGCAAGATTGATGCACCCTACTAGGATGCCTCGCACTTGCACTGACACTGCCAACTCCAACTTTTACCATTTTCCCATGAAAAAATTAATGAGAGAGGCAATTCACATTTATAGCAAGTTATGACTTTTCCAGATCAAGTGAAAGCTTTGCATACCACTTGAAATTTGTCGGCATACCACAGTTTGAAAAACACAGGTCTATGCAATACATGAAAATGGATGGTGTGAATGAACAATGTTTCCACATCAAATTTTGTTACAAGCTGGTGAAAATGCTATAGAAACACATAAAATTCTTCAAACAACATTTTGTGAAAATGCATTGGGACTCATACCTACTTGCAACTGGTTAATCAGTTCAAAAGTGGCTGTGGCTGCATGTCAATTGACAGTGATGATTGTTCTAGCCATCCCTCTACAAGCATGACACAGAAAGCATCATCAAAGTTCATGCAGTGATAGTGACACTGTAGAACAATTCATGAAATCTGTGAGATGCTGCATTGACTTTTAGCACATGTTAGGGCATTCTGTTTTTGGAACTGAACATGAAGAAGAACATTACTAAGTTTGTGCTGTTAGAGGTATAGAGGCAGCATCACATAAAATCTGTTGGGAGCTTAGACTAGGTCACAAATGACTCAGTTTCTATAGATGATCATTACTGGTGATGAGAGTTGGATTTACTGATATTCTGAAACTAAACAGCAATCATTTCAGTGAAAGTCTTCCAGTTCTCCAAACTCCAAAAAGCAACATTGACTTGATATTGCTTTTCACCTGACAATGTTTCTTTGGCATGGATGAAATTGCCCATAATGAATTTGTCCCATATTATCAAGTCTGTGAATATAACATTTTATTGTGATGTCCTGATGCAATTAATTAAAGGTATATGGAGAAAATGTCCCATGACATGATGAGAGAAAAACTGGCTTCTCTGTAACAACAATGTTCCAGCCCAAACATCTTGACCATACTACACTTCTTGATGATCAACAACATGACACTTGTTCATAACCCAGATTTGGCTCCCTACAACTTCTATTTCTCAAGCTTAAATTCAAGCTAAAAGGAAAAATTTGTAGCAGTAAACAAGTTCTAAGAAAAATCACAGGCAGTATTGAATCACAAATGGTGACTTTGCAAGGCATTCTATTTGTGGGAGGCATATTGTGATAGATGTTTACTTTCCTATGGGGACTACTTTGAATGTGATGATCAACAATAGTGTTTACAATGAATAACTGGTTTTTATAGACATACTTTGTAAACTTTTGTGTAGCATCTCACAGTTTGTTATATAGTGTGTATAAATAAAGATTTTAAATTAAGTTAAAATATTTTACTAAATAAATAATCAATAAAAAAATTGAAGACTAATCTACATATATTTTTTTTAGGCATTTGAATTCTATGAAGAATTATTATCAAGTCGTTATCCTTACTCTTGTTATAAACAAGTTTTTGTTGATGAGGCATATGTTGATGCAAAACCATATGCTACCTTAACCATTCTTAAGTAAGTTTTATTTTAAAATTTAAATTATATGTATGGGTGATCAAATGAGAAGAGAGCTTGAAGTTTGATGATGCCAGTGTCATTTGATTGACTTGTCACACATCATCAATTTCCAAGTGTAGTATAAATTTTTATTGTTTTTTAAATTAAAATTTGCAATAACTGGAAATGCCTTACATTTCCAGTTATTGCAAAACAGAATTTTAATAATAGAAAGTTATGGAAAAAAATTATTTAAAAGTGTCCTAAATTGTCTGTGCTTACAAAAGTTTGTAAATTCTTAAACAAGTGATGAGCCATGGGATCTATCTATGTAACAGAAAAAGAATTATTATAAATGAAAAATTATATGAGGAAAGACTGTGATATTCAAACATGCTTTTGAAGTGAGTTCCAGAGAGTCTTTAAGGCATTTATCTCAGACCAGATTATCATATACTTCACTTTTTACTACTACAAAAAGCACAAAATTTTGGCTTGAACTTTTTGTATTTAACATTGAAATGCTTGGTGAATCTCAACACCACAAGTCATAGTAAACAAATGTTTAAGATTTAAATGTTTCTTGTTGAGACATAGCAAGGTTGGGTGACTCAATATCATTAAATCTGATTTGTAGTATTCCAAACTACAAATCAGAAAATAATGGTGGCTATTGTAGTGTCTGAAATTATTTTTTTATTTTGCACAAACAATATATCAATATGTATATACAGTAGAGCATCGATTATCTGACTCAATTGGGGACTCGGGTTGGTCGGATAACCGAAAATAATGAAAAAAATACATTATTAGTATAGTATATTAGTATATCACTATTAATTAATTAAATGTAATTAGTATATTAGTATATCATTAACCTACTTTGCGTTNGATGATATTTGTTTGGCTCATTTGCTGAATCTCATTTAGTATTAAATACGATGGAGCTAAATTATTTACATGACATGCCTGTTGTGAGAAGCATGGAAAAAGTTTTTTTCCATGCTTCTCACAACTTTTCATTTATCTTCTCCTCCCCATGGTTATTGTGTTGGCCAACAAAGCAGTTTCCAAAGATGGTGACTTAACATGACACAATGGGATAGTTCTTTGAGTAAAAGTGAATTAATTAGTTGTAATTTCTTTGAGGGAAGTGTTTCAATATTAACTTTATCGAAAATAAGATTACAAATTTTTGTAATCTTATTTTGTAGTACACAATAAAAGCATGTGTATCCACTTATAAATGGAGATTTTTCATATTTCTTTCAAAAGATTTATGCTGGATATTCCAATCATTTTCCATTCTCCAGCTTGATATTTATTAATTAATGAATGTATCATGCTCATAATGTAAATTGTTTAATTTTTCTTAACTAAAATAAACTTTAGAAAGTACTGTACTCAAAAGAATCAGAATTGAGTTTTTGGTGGTATTGGAATTGGGAGAAATTTTCATATCAGCTCATCCATATTATTATCTAAACAGAATGTATTTTTTAACTTCTTTGACAATGTTAACACTTTTACTTACACATAAAAATTTTATTCATTAAAGTATTTGATATTATGTTATTAAATTATTTTTAAAATTGTATAAATATTTAATTATTTTATTCACATTTATTAGGCAGTATCCAAAATTATGTATTCATTTAAATTATTGAATATTACAGATTGTGGTTTCCTTGTGTGGATTCATATTCAGAGCCATGTACATGGAAAATGGAGTTCACTGTTGATTCTTCAATGGTGGCTGTTTCATGTGGAGATCTTGTAGAAACTGTTTTTACATCAGATATGAGGAAAAAGACGTATCATTATTATCTTTCTGTTCCAACTTGTGCTCCAAATATTGGATTAGCTGTTGGGTAATTTTATTTTATTGTATTCAATTTTACCATTTTAAGTGTTTGCTGTGGTGATGAGATTTTTGTTTTCATTTGTTTGATTATTGTATTTTTCTCATTTAAAGTAAAATAGTAATTTGTTCCAAAAATACTAATACAAAAATCAATCGTGCATCAATACTAAAAATAATAAAATCATACTTATCTAATAGAAAGGAATTGATCAAACAGGCTATCATTGCACATACATGACAATGTGTGTAACATACTTTGTGAAATAGTTCTGTCCAGAATGTATTAAAAGATTACATTCTGGACAGAACTATTTCACATTAGTATTACACTTTACAAAAGTAGATGGAAATAAGTTTTATGTTAAGAATATTGTATTCAGTGAGATATTTGAAAAATATATAAAAATTGATTTAAAATAAAACATCTAAATAAATATGTTATGCAAATTTTGAAATAATGTCAAAAATCTTTATTTCTTTTACAAGTGAATTTTGTAGTTAAGAAAGATGAATAGCATTTATGAAAGTGTTTAGAGATTTTATTTATTATGAATGCAATTTAAAATTCTAATAACAATGACAGCTGAACTAATTGGCAATCATATTCTGATCAAACTGAATTTTTAACAGGTTCTGGATAGTACTTTATTAACATTTTTATCTTTAAATTATTAAATATATATTCTAAAAAAGTGACATTGTTGAGAAGGACAATTCAGTCTGTTAGAAAACCNCATGGGATATAATAATATACTACACTAATAATGGATTTTTTCATACTTTTCGGTTATCCGACTTTTCAATTATCCGACCAACCCCAGTCCCCAATTGAGTCGGATAATCGAGGCTCTACTGTAAATGTAAAAAGAAAAAAAAAATTATATTTCAGAAGTTAATTTTAATATAAAATTATAACAACGTGCCATCTAGTTTAAAAAACGTTCCAATGATGAAATGAGATATCTCCAGTCAACCGATCAAGGTCAGCATGTGGCGACCAGAGATATGTGGGGAATAACATGGGACAGGTAAATGGGTTTTTTCAAAGATTCGTTTGTCAAAATTCGATTTCACAACATTCATATTTTCAACTTCCCAACGAGCAATGCATGCATAAATCTTGCACTACTCTCTGTTTGTAGAGAGTGTCGCCATTTGTATTTTATTTTGACTCTGTGCTCGGTCCCCTGAGTACCTACAAGTCTGGTTTTTTTTATGCGTGCATGATTTGGGCACTTAATACTATGTGCCAAATTTTAACTTCTGACATTTACTCCTTCATACCTCTAAGCTGGTAACCCAGCCGGCAGTACGATTTTATAAACAAGACATAGTCTTGTAAATCTAAATACTTAATATTTGAACTATTTCTCAAATAGTTATTTTGTTGTTGTTATAAAATAATTCTTCTGGAAAAAATAGAGTAATGAACAGAGTGTAAATGATTGTTGTTAGTTGAATGGTCAACTAATGACATATTACTAGTATAAGAACTATTATTATTACTAGATGAAGTGGATTTAACATAATGATTTTTTTACATCTAGAAACAGATGTAAACATTAAATAAATACAATTTATAAAAATGAATTGATATTTGTTTCTTTTATTGTAAGAAAAATATATATAATTAATATATTTATTTGTTGAAAATTAAATATTAATTTTGTAGCACAAACTTGCTTCATTCGCGACACATCATTGATCAGACGTATTTGTCTCGTAAAATTATGTCTCATTCTGTAGCTGAACAGTTTTTTGGTTGTTTTATCAGCATGTATTCATGGTAAATATAAATTTATTTATCATCATATATAATTCTATAAAATATGATATTAAAAATATTTTTTGTGAAAATTTTTATTAGGTCAGATGTATGGCTTCCAAAAGGAATATCATCTTATTTAGCAGGACAGTATTATAAAAAAGCATTTGGTAATAATGAATATCGTTATTGGATACATAAGGTATGACTGGTTAGCTCTTTAAAATGAATTTTAAAAATTGTAAATTATGTTTCCTGAAATGTTTTTAAATCCTTTATTATTTTTTCTCTATAAAACTGATAGAAAAATAAAAGATGTATTTAGAGCAAGGCTGCCCAATTCATTTTGGAGGTGGGCTATAATTTCAATTACATGTCAGTCGGTGGACCACCTAGTGAATCATACTTGCTTACACTCATGATTCTTCTATAAATGGATAGGTATTTGAATCAAACAAAGCTTTAAGTTGCACATGTTTTAATAATACCTAATAAAAAATACATCAATGAGACCTATGAAGAGGTTTATTAGCTAATAATTTTTCAATATTTGGTGNTAATAAACATGTTTTTGGAATTAAACTTTTTATGAAATTATATATATTTTTATTATAGTTTCAGAAAGCTATTTTTACTGTTACTGGAAAAGATATCAAGACTTTTCTTGAGCAATGGGTGTATCCTTTGAATCATACTTGCTTACACTCATGATTCTTCTATAAATGGATAGGTATTTGAATCAAACAAAGCTTTAAGTTGCACATGTTTTAATAATACCTAATAAAAAATACATCAATGAGACCTATGAAGAGGTTTATTAGCTAATAATTTTTCAATATTTGGTGGCAACAATTTAATTTTAATACACAAAAGTTGACACAAAACTAAAAGAACAAGTGTAATAAACACATAGGTTAGGTATTAACAGCAGTGTGGCACAGAATAAACTCTGACTCGAGTCAGAGTTTATTCTGCATTTGACCAATCATGTGGCGTTTGGCATTATTGGTAACATTGCGCTTGGTGACAGCCGACTGCTACTGTGGGCAGACAAATTCAAATGCGTTGGCAGGCCACTTTGTGGCCTGTGGGCCTGGGTTTGGGCAGCCTTGATTTAGAGCTATACAAATATAAAGCTTTCTATATTGTGTTCATTTTTTAACATTATATTACTGAATTTAAATTACAGTGGATGATTGGTTAACGAACATAATCTGTTCTAGACTTTGTTCGCTATTCAAATTGCTCAATTTACTGTAGATTTTTACGGGAATTTGATTAATTTGTTCTGGAGACCCCCAAAAATAAAATATATATACTTTCTTACTATATTAATTTATATGTAATAATAAAAATATATATATGCACAGTCTTGCATTTTTATTAGTCATGTTTTTTCCATTTGTGAGTGTTAAAGAATCTGTCTAATGTCAATTGCTTTTCTCTCTTCTTCAGAATTTTTCAGAAGTAATTAATAGCATTGTAATTGTAGAAATCCCCAGCCTATTAACCTCAACCTGGTTTAGATGTCATTCTAAGATCATTGTTCTGACTTCTTCATAAGATCTTTAATAGCAGATATCGGCATTAATCCTCTTTTTCAGAAGAAAACATATCTTGCCGAGTTTCTTGGTGTTCTTCATTCAAGAGTTCTTGGCGTTCTTCATTTAAGAGTTCTTGGCGTTCCTCATTCAAGAGTTCTTGGCGTTCTTCTGTCGTCAGATCTGTTTCAGGTTCCATTATGAAATTTTCAATGTTCTTTATTTCTTAGATGTAATTTTAATTACTCTTTCAGCTGCATGAATCTTCTTGATTATACTGTATCTTTCTTAGATAAGATTTAACCTCTGCTTACTGTAGACGTATACTGCCCAGCAACATCAGACATCTTCTGCCCACTCTCTACCTTTGTTATTATTATACTCTCACCTTTCAAAAATAAAAACTGACACAAAACTTAACGAGTACCTACCTGACAGTCTCGCAAATACTATAAAAAAATTGTTTCTGTCAGAAAAATAAAAGGCTGGAATTACAAGGGAGAGTTTCGAAGTTTGGAGAAATACTATCCGACCAGTATTTACTGGGTTGAGCGTTGATGCTGACATTTCCTGCACTCCGAAAAGTTTTGAATTGTTGATTGAAGACAAGGGAAGACCAATCGGTATTCATTATTTTATGTCGCTTCTTCTTGTTTGTTCAGTGAGGTGTTTGTTGTTCGAACATAAAAATCTTTTATGAAAGTGTTTGTTAACTGATCACACACTGTATTTTTAAGGTAGTATTTTATTGACATAATTTTACATTGTTATATGTAGAATATGTTGGGCTGCAATATTTAATGTTCTTTGTAGTAACTAAAATATTTCTAAGAGTATTTTAAGTATTTGTTATCTAGAATATTATAGAAATTTTAAATCTTTAAAGTATTAAATGATAAGTATGCATAAATCCATAATTATAATTTAATAATTTTCTTTTAGGATCTACAAGATGTAATAGCATATGAACAAAAACATGATGGTATAATATTAGACTGTAGTGCTATGCCTTCTGGATCTGTTTCAAATTCTGGAAAAGAAGGGAGTTTCTATTTTCCAACTAAACATTTACATACAACTTCACCTAAATATAATCAGATACTATGGAAAAAATCTCATTTGGTTATTCGGATGTTAGAAGACAGGCTTGGGAGAGAATTATTATTACAGGTTAGAATAATTGTAAGATGATAATTTACTTTTTAAGTAATACTAATTACAGGAATTTACTCTTTTTTTTAGGTTTTTAATAAGCTGTTGTCTTTAGCAAGTTCAGCTGCTCAACAGAAAGTTACTAGTAATGTTTGGTTTAACATGTTACATGTTTTTGGAATTAAACTTTTTATGAAATTATATATATTTTTATTATAGTTTCAGAAAGCTATTTTTACTGTTACTGGAAAAGATATCAAGACTTTTCTTGAGCAATGGGTGTATCCTTTATATAAAATACAGTTATTAGTAGAAATTAATTATTGGGCTGCAGTTTTCAAATTGCAGATCTATAAAGTCCCACTGTCTTTCCTTAATCTCAAGGACATCTAGACTAGCTTTGGAAAACTTATGAGCCAAAGGCCTTGATTATACATGAATACTTGAACTATACATGAATTTTTGGTCTGAACTGGAAGTCGCATGGTTTCAATTCAAAATTTTTACCTTATCTCAAGAACAGAGTTAAGTAGATGAAAACCAGGACCAAATATGGAAAGTTTAAGGACTGGAGATTCCAATTAACTATGTATGAACTTTCAGTCTTGACCAGAAGTCACATGATTTTTTTAAATTAAAAGATGGTTAAAAATTGCAGTCCAACATTGTGATGATGTCACAATAAATAATTGCTCATTAACTATTAGATTTCACTTAACTTTTTATATTAGAAGACAAGGTGGTCATGCAAAATTCCATGGCACTTTCATTTTTAACAGAAAGCGAAATACTGTTGAATTAGAAATTAAACAACAGGATCTTCAGTCCAAAGGAATTAGAAGATACGTGGTTAGTAAATTTGAATATTATTTATCTTTAATTAATGATAGAGTAATACTTAAGAATCATTATAAAAAAGTTCAATTAAGTAAGTATAAATATTCTTTTAAAAATAATCTGAACTAAATACTGCACCTTTAACAGTGGGGTTTGAGAAGAATGTTAATGTTTTAACCCAATTAATGGGTCATCCTAAGTTGTCAAAATTGGAGTTTGACTTGTTTGAGTCTGAGGATGACCATTAACCAGGTAACATTAACCATTGAAAACATTAGCATTCTTCTAGAATCTCATTGTTATAGGTATAGTAATTAGTCCAGCTAAGTTACCACAGTGGATAGTATAGCATCTTCATTAACCTGATTATTTATTGGGCTGCAATTTGAAAAAATTGTAGACTTATAAATTTCCGCTGTCATCCTTCTACTTGTCTGACTTTCCTTAATCTTGAGATTGGTGTTAGATAAGTGAAATTCAAGACCAGATATGGAAAGCTTAGGGGCAGGAGGCTCGAATTAACTATATATGAACTTCTGATGCAAACCTGAAGTCATGTTATTTCAATTCAAAACTTTTCCCTGAAAGCAGTTAATAGATGATTGGCATGACTTCATTGCTAATGGAAAAGTATGATGTACTGTACAGGAGCAAGACACTACAGTACTAATTTGAAGTGGAGAGCATATATTTTAAATAAAAAAATTAAAGTTATGATTAAAAATTGCAGCCTGGCATTGTGACAATGTCACAATAAATAATTTTTCGTAATAAATNGTGGAGAGCATATATTTTAAATAAAAAAATTAAAGTTATGATTAAAAATTGCAGCCTGGCATTGTGACAATGTCACAATAAATAATTTCTCATAATAAAATTGTTTTTATTGCAGAAATACAATGTAATATACATAAAATCATAAATGCAAAATTTTGTCAGTTTCTGGAATTTGTAGTCTAGTATTACTTATCAGAAATTTCTTAGAGTTTTGTAATTATAAATTTAAAAATGTCATTAAAAGTACAAATATAGTTTAATTATGTTAATTTTATGTAAAAAAATATTTTATAAGTGATTGTTTCAAAAACAAAATTAATCAACTAATAAATTTGTTAAGTAAACAAAATAATCACTAGTAAAAACTGGTTAATTTTAAAGAAACTACATAAAAAAACTAAAATCCATCAGAAATGGTAAAAAATTTATTTTAGTGAATGGTTTCCTCCATTTTCATGCTCTTAACATTTTAATTTCAAACTGCACAAGATGTAATGTTTTGATTCAAAATACACAGGCTCATTGATTGATGGAGTGGGAACCTTGGTAATCTCATAGACCATGTGATTATGAAATAATGAAACAGTTCTTCCAAGCTAATGGAAACAAATCTGCATCCTTGAAAATTAATGGCTGTATTTTTTGTAGTGGCTTTATATATTTCTAATAGTTTCAAAAATCTAAATTGAGTTCTATTATGTGTGCAATGTAGAATTTGGGTACTATTAAAAGGTATCTCAGTTTAGGTTGCTGGCATAAGTGGCCAAGGCAGTAGAAGCCTAAACACCACTGTAACTTACAGGAAAGACTTCATTAAATACCAGAAGAAATTCTATTGGATACTGAGGTTTCAAAAACCTAAGAAAGAAACACACTCTGTGACCCAATTAATAACTTGGGATGATATCTCTCCCCTTGAGTTTTTGTTGGTAGTATTAAAAAAAGTCTTCATATGTGCCATCATCCAAACCCTGTTTAGAGTGTTCTATGCTGGATATGGAGAAGCTCATAAAAGGTCTTCTGGATTTCCAGAAGGAATATTACAGACGGAAGATGCATTTCACTATGAAGAATATTAAACCAAGCAAACATGATACAATGTTTTGGAGAAACATAATTAAAAGCAAGGACTGGATAAGAGGTAATGAAGTTATACTTTTCAGGGTTGACAAGAACAAATAGATTGTTTTAATGAAGAGGAAAATGTACAAGAGTATCCTGCAACTATACATCGATGAAACTGAATGTGAAAGTATGGAAGCTATCTCTATTCCCTGCAATCTAGGGTCAAAAGATTCTCATGTTCTCACCTTGGTAAACAGGCTAGTGGTAGAAAGAATTCCCCTGATGTTCCTAAATTGTTTGCATTTGTAAAAACACAAGAAAATGCACAAGCTAAGACTGATTCTTGATAAAGTTATGTCTCCCACCTGCAAGTTAGAAAAAGCCCTACATAGCCTCCTTAGTATGGACATCAAAGGCTACAGGTATAATGTTGTCAACTCCATAGAACTAGTTGGTGAGTTTAGGCAAATTTTCTCTGTAGAATACTTTATTGTATTATTGGAAAGCAGAAAACCTGAAGCAGAGCTCAGAAGGAGCCCAAAAACGTTTGTTTACATTTAATCGTGGATTTTGTTGCTGGGTATCTGGAGTTTTTTTGGAGGCGTGTTATATTATAAAAGAAACATCACAACTGATCTGAGATGAAGTCACACCAACTGCTGTATAATATCTGACTATTTTCCAGATATTATAATTTTAATTACTGATTGATGTGTTCCTAGAGGGAGGCATTAGGTGCCATTTCATATTAAATTTAATAATTATAATATTTAATTAATTAATTTAGAATAAACTGGAAGAAAAGAATCGGCCCGAAGTAGGACTCAAACCCGCAACTCCTGCTTACTGTGTGGATACGTTGCCAGTTACGCTACCCGGCCCTTCGGTCTGATCTCTTCCAGTATATATAAGCCTAATGTATAACCATCAACAGTTAATATGAGTGCCTTGAGTGGATGTTTCTGGCTGAGGGCACAGGTGTGTCCCCAGTTGGTACTGTATTTTAACTTAATTAACTATCGATGGTTATACATTAGGCTTATATATACTGGAAGAGGAGATCGGATTGAAGGTCCAGGTAGTGTAACTGGCAACGCATCTGCACAGTAAGCAGTAGTTGTGGGTTTGAGTCCTATTTCGGGCCAATTCTTTTCTTCCAGTTTATTCTAAATTAATTAATTAAATATTATAATTATTAAATTTAATATGAGATGGCACCTAATGCCTCCCTCTAGTGCCAAATTTGTAATTCATAATTAATATTTTCAAATTATAGTCCAATTATTTATGGCAATCATGGGTGTCTACATTCCCTTATATTTTACTGTTGTCTTGTACTGTAACTAGGGTTTTTGATCCAGGAATTTGTGGAAAATTTCAAGTTTTCTTGTCTGAAATCTTGGGAAGAGCAGGACTATAAAATTAAAATTTATAAATCTGAGACAGAAAAGTGTTGAATTTATTATAATTTTAAATTTCAGTGTAAAGAGTATTGTATCATAAAGTTGATTTGAAATTTTATTACAAATCACTGGAACTGTTTAATGGTTACAGTTAATGTAACGTGATTTCTTATTTTTCATATTGATTTATGTTTCTTTTAAACATAAAATATAGATATAATCCCCAGAACATCTTCCTGGTTGACATTTTTCTAGTAGCATACAGTTTAGTTTTTAATACTTAAAACTTCATATAATGTATATATTGCTGGCTAGATGGCTGAGATAATTAAGGTCTCAGCTTGCTGTTTTGAGGATTCAGGATTGAATCTTCAAAACAATTCCATAAATTTTTTTCTATGGATGGTATGTCCTAGATATGTAGAGCTCTGTCTTTCATCATTTTGACTGCTGTATTGTGGGCTTTGCCAAACTTATGATTGATCCAGAAAAAGCTTTTTTCTCACAGGGTGGAAACAGTCAAAAATAAAGAAGAATGCATGTGTTTCTGAATACAATGTTTTTCCATGGATGTTTACATAATAAAAGCTTAATTTTAACAGTTGACAAAATGTGAAAAATCTCACATTGCATTCCAAAACTGAAATCCTACTTTTGACTCAAATGTTATGCAATAATAATTTAAATCATGTATGAATGTTACTTTATAATATAAAAATCCATTTTATATTAATTAGAGATTAAAGAAAGAAGCAAATAAAACAAAACATTGTACATTCAAGTTAGTACTGTCATTTTAATTGTATAAAACATTTAGTTGTCAAAATTAACTTTGTAGTGATGACGAGAGCAACAAGTTTATAGCTTACTAGGATTACAAATATCACTTTTCAAGTGTTAACCATGAAACTTCTTTGAAATGATGATGATATAGATAGGGAATAATTACAGGAAATTGGNCCAATTGTTAGGGAGTGGGGATTGGCAGAAATAAGAAGTTATTATTTGTTTGAATTTAAGCCACACCCTAATTTTATGTTTTAAAAATTGGATAAAAAGTATGACTTAAATTTGAAGTAATAAGGCATTTCTTTAATAATATCCAGTGTGTTTAGGAAAGTTATAGATTTTGGGAAAAAACTGAGGAGAAAAATTATTATTGTTTTTTTTATTTTAAGAATTAAGCTTTTAAAATTATTTTTATACATAATAATGATTATTTGCATGAATTTATAATTCTGATAACATTTATTTTACTTTAATAGAAATAAAAAGAAGAAAATTCCTCTTTGTACAGGAGAAGAAGTTGATATGGATCTTAGTGCCATGGAGTAAGTATTTTATGAGACTCATTATAAGTTGAATTTAAAATGTTTAAATTGCTTTTTTTGTGAGAATCTGCTATTGATAAAACTAATTTGTCAATATAAAAGGAGAAAATAAATCAGACTTTAGTTTTTTCTTAGAAAATAAGTTTATTTCCTTAAAATGTAAACATCCAATCACCCTATTTTTAGTTTAATGCCACATGATTTCTGGATTACACTGATTTATAATAATGCTACTAATTAGTTAGCTGGCTGCCATAGTGAGAGTTACAGGCTGTTGGAATTGTCTCCAATTGGTTCCATGAGCAACCAATATGGTTATATCTAAATTAATAGTTCTGGAAGTGAAGTTTGGATGGATATTTTGGTAGTATAACTGGTAACATGTCCATATGTCATACAGGGGTTACAGGTTTGAGTTCTGCTTTGACCTTTTAAATTAATTAATAAATTTATCAAGAGATGGCACTTAATTCCTGCCTCTAGGCCAAATTACTTAACATTTAATTATTAATAGTTATTTATCTTGAAGTTCTGATTATGCAAGTATTGCAGTAGATAGGACTCTGTTATTCTGTTATATTTCATTTAATCTGTGCATTCAGGAAATTCTTGTTTAGTTGTAATGATTGACTTTCAAGGATTATTAGCAAAAACATCAGCACTGTATTTATAGTAAGAATTGTGTTGCAGTAGCATAATGCTTCTGTGCTTAATTTTATGGGCTCTAGAACACTGACAATGTCCTCCAACAATTGAAATTTCAGTTTGGAAAACTTAACCAAGTATTTCAAATCAATCAGTGGCTTTTGCATAGCAAAGTGTAGATCAGAGAAATGCTAAAGCATAGTTAGCATGCTACTTCACTTCATTTAGGAGTCCAAAAGCAAACTCAGATTATTTTTTTGCTTGTAGTTGTATATTTTAATAAAGACACAAACACACGCATTTTTCTCCTTCAAAACCAATGGTCACCAAACTTTTATTGCTCATTGTTTCTGTCTGGGTAATGCTCACATATTGTATGTTTATTACATCCATATATAGAAATCAAAATTATTAGAACAACTAATATTAAAACAAATTTAATACATATATTTGTCTATATTTGTATGATTATATTTTTTATTAGTGCAGACTCACCAGTGTTATGGATAAGAATAGATCCAGAAATGCATCTGATGAGAGAAGTGGTAATGGAACAACCAGATTATCAATGGCAGTACCAGTTAAGATATGAAAGAGATGTCACTGCACAAATTGAAGTAAATAGTTTTTAATTCCTTTGTTTGAAATTGTTGAGAAATAAACTAAAAATAAATCTTTATTAAAGTAATTGCTTCATGAAAAGAACTTTTACTTATTAATTTATGTTGGATCATTTCAATAAATCCAGCATTTTTTGTTACTTTTTTTATTTTTCATATATTAAAAAGTACTATCTAGTAACTTAAAGAATTATTATTTTTAAAAAATTTAATGATAATTTAATATAATTTTAAATTATCATTAAATTATTTATTTGTAATTTTCATAAGATTATAGGAAACATTATGTTGTCTTTTTTGATAATAAGATCATCTATTTTTTCTTAATTTTTATAAGTTAAAACAATATAATTTTTGAGATTATGTATGAACATTTATATGGTGTACAAATTTTGTAATGCAGAGTAATAAATTAATATGAAAAAAGTTTAAATATGCAGTCAAACTTCTGTATAATGAATTGCTCCAGGAAAGAAAGAACTTGATAGATATCTAGTCATCAAGGTAGCAGCCTACCACTCTGGGGACCTGGGATTAAATCTGGATGGGTTGAAAAACCTCAGGAAATTTTCTGGGATGGTCCATTCAGATATGTCAGGCCTCCTGAAAATCACTAAGCCCTCGTTACCTGACTGTCCTATTGTGGGCCTGGCCAAACTCATAATGAGCTTGCTGAAAAGGCCCCTTAGTGCCCACCAGGAAGAAAGAGTTTAAGAAAGAAATATTCATTATATAAAAAATTCATTAAGTGGGAAGTGCTCTAGTAAAGAAAAAAAAAACAGGTTGCTCTAATAATGATTTATTCTCCATGAAAATAGAGAGGTTGCGGCTGACGTTTTCATCACAAAAATGTGAATGTTGGACGTCGAGTGCCATAATCTGGCAAGTCTAGAAGGTTGACAATGGCATTTGCTACGTCTAGCGTGGTGGGTAGAAGTTCAGCTTAAACTTCTTTATTTTTTTTGTGTTTGGGGTTAAAATTATTATGTATTTTATTAAAATAATGATTACTTAAGCATTTATGGATAATATTGTAAAGAAACAGATGATTTTAATCCAGAAATTTAATTATTCAGTTCTTTTGCAAGTGATGCGAAGTGCCTATAGAATTTACATATATTTGTGTTCATAATAACTTATCATAATTCTGTAGGATTAGGGTTGTTCTTTCACAGCATCTTCTACCATCAACAGTGTAATATGTTTGTAAATTTTCTAAAAATAAGTTCCCAAGCTGCTTTCAGATTTACATAAGCCATTACTTCCATCAACAAAAGTATGAGGTAGTCCTATCATCCTATTGTATGGTAGGAGACACGACGCTAATTAAAAATAATTATTTAGTGTTATTAAACATTCCATAAATACTTTAAAATAGTTTAATTTGTTTATTTACCTTCACTGGTAACATTCGTCATTAAACATTTCTGCCATTTTTCAACAATATCCCACGAGTCAGTGTGTGACATGAACATGTGGTACAATGTGTTTTACTTGGAGTTCAAACATAAAACATGTACTTCTGCTTGTTGTACAAGTTCAATGTTTGAACTTCAGCTGCAAACTCTCTAGTGTCTTTGTACTTACTTTAATAATAAAATAAACTCTTTTGTTTGATTTTTTCATATAAATTGCATGCATAAGATGTAGCAATCTTTATTGAAATTGAGAAAAAATTTAAATATAATAATTAGAAATAAATAAATTAATATACAATGTTCCGGAAGAAAAGATTGATCCTGAGCAGGATTCAAATATGCAACTCCTGCTTATTATGCAGATGTGCTGTAAATTACATTACTCAGACCAATCTTTGCTTTCAGACAAAAATAATTTAGAAGATACAACCATCCAGATCACTATAATTAGAAATAAAAAGCCTCTGATTGTTAAATTTAACACAAAATAGCAGATTAATTGCTTACCTTTAGTCCAGATTATGTAATATTTTATAATTATTTAGCCATATTAGTCTGATTTAAGATCTGGCAGTATCTAATAAACTCCCAACAACCTTTAAATAACCAGTAAAATATTTAAAAATACTATTACAAACATTTTCAACCGTTATTTCCAGTCTTTTTCAGGTTAAAAGTTTTGAGATTCGAATAGCAGTTGTGCTTGAAGATTTAAACTGTTTTTAGAACATATAAACAGTCATACCCTATTAAAATTCAATAAAAAACGCAAAAAAACAGCATCTAAAATAGTATAAGAGAAGCCAAGTTCTTCACGGTAAGCCTTAATCCTATCCCTCTCCATGAGGGGGGAATTTCAACATGTATATTATGTGAGACTAATCGGGGGTAGGATGTTTACGAGGATGTCCCTCTCCTACCACTTACTCGACTCAAGACCTTGAGGTCCGGTCTCGCTTGTCTAAAGGATGGGAAAAAAGGGTTAGGAGAAAGGATCGTTAGATTCTTTCACCTGTCAGGTTCTGACACCAATCTATCAATTTATCGCGGATAGATACGCGGATGGATGGGGAATTATCACGAGCGATCTCGTCGAGGACTTCGGGTTCAGTATGGAGTGGAAAAT